GGGGGGGTAGGGGTACCCTTCCCTTCCCCGGCGAGACCCTTCACTCATCGGCACTCGCATGTTTTCAATTTTGACCTTGCCGAAAAACGTTACCAACCGTACATATATATCGATTCTGGGACGCACTGTTATCAAGGGGGAAACTTTTGCGACATCTATACGACATTTATACAGTCATTGCATGCAATTACCGTAAAACGGCCTGTATCCTGTTCATATAGCGCTGCGCGGTTTTTTCCATGTGGTATCGTGTGTCGCTTTTGCGTTTTGGAAAATGAAGCTACTTGAGGCCGGTGTAAACGACGATAGAGTCAGAGAAATCGATAAAGGGATTAAGAATAAATTCAGGTAGGTTGTTTTACTAGATCGGTTGTGTGTATGTCGTATGAAGACATTGAACTTGCATTTGAAAATTTTCATGTTTTGAGTTGTCGACTTGTCGCTCGTTTACGTGTGCGTTAAGATTTTTCTTCGAAAAATCTTTCAGACTTTTTTATCAAAACCAAATCTCATGCCTGTTGTAAGTCTACAGTATTTCAGAAACTGTGTTTATAACTTTTCTCAACTGGTTTTCAAATGATCGTCATTATCTCATAGGATGTTTACTTTTCCTAGGTGACACGCTGTATTTTAAGTTTACCACAGAGGGTGGATATAGTCACTGGGGTTATAAATTCACCATATCCAGTGGCAAGATTGGAAGATTTGACACTGGTTATTTAATCCTCAATGCCATATTGTCAAATGAGATGGTGGCAGTGTAAGTTTAAGATTTGGGTATTTTTGTGTATTATTTCAAAAATATTAGAACCAATGTCAGGATATTCCAACAGTGTTGTGACGTTTAGAGGAAATGTGCTTAAAAGCTAAATCATTTGATGTGTATTTCTAAAATATGTTACAAGAGTGTAGTTTTGTTTTGATCATTTTAATGGACAGGTTTAATTTTTCTTTCTTTCAGGTCACTACCACTGAATGATTTGTGGTGCAGCCTGGTCTATGTGGCTTGCAAGCAGACAGGGACACAGAGACTGAAGACCATACAACTTCTACTCAGAATATTACAAACACAATTTGTGTGAGTTAATGGAACAGAACTTAAGATTTTTGTTTTGGCAAAACTCTGCAAAATTCTGTTCTCTTTATGATGTTACAAAAACACATTATTTAATTCTTCAGAGTTTAATTTCCCATGTTCAGCATTGCACCAAAATTTGGAGGAAAAAAGCATTATGCAAAAGAAGTTGTATAGAAGTAACAGATCATTCTGTTTTTTTTTTTTTTTTTCTTAGAATGTTATAAACACAATTTGGCTATTATTATTTTTTTAACAATACATAAAAATACTTTTGACATTTAAATGAATGAAAAATTGTGTGGGTTCCCTGCATAAGATAAGAAAAGAGTTTATTTAGCCAATTATAAAAATCGGAAATCATTTTCCTTTTGGAGCAGTATACAGAGTAAAAAATAAAATAATACAATAAATAAATAAATTAAGAATTTAGTTTTGAGATCAAATTAAAATGCGTATCCATATTTACAGACAAAGTGCAATCCTTCTAAAAGATTGAGATATTTAAATGATGTGTATTGAATTTAGACATTTATTTTGTAAAGCAACTCAGCCAGCAAAAAACTAACAATTTAGAACAAAACATTTCCAGACCAAGAGCAGATCCTCAGAAATGTCGGGTTGACCTGACTCTGTTGAAGCCCCTGTGGAAACTGTATAAGAGCAGCTTCAAGGATACAGAGGGAGGATCTGTCACACAGCCCATTGTCAGGGCCCTCACTGAGCTGTTCCTAGTGGCAGAGAATACAGCACTGGTAAGTAGCGATATTCATTGCAGTAGCAGATGTGGCGGTCAGAAGGGTCCTTACCCCCCCCCCCCCCCACCGATTTCTGAAAAAAGCATACCAATGGTCTCCTCTTGAAATTAGTATTTTGACTAGCCAAATCATATTTCTTAGCCATACCAAATTCCATTGTTCACCTTCTAAAATACCAAAATTTTGTGGGGCCCTTCTGCAGGCCTGAACCCCATGCCAACAGGGAGGGGGGGTCCACATCCCCCTTCAAATTATCCTGCATCCGCTTCTGCTTGATAGGGTTGTTAGTTATCATCTGTGATGTTTGACACCACCTTGAGGCAATTGACTGATATATATATATATATATATATATATATATATATATATATTGGCAGAAATCATTTTTGTAAATTATTTGGATTATTCCAAGTTACTATTCTTACCTGAAATTGGATATCATGAGTTTTATAATAAATATTTGCCAAATGAACTGTCCAGTTGAAAATTTTATATTGGCTTTGTCTACCCTAATATTTGGCTGAAAGATTAATTTTGTAAATAATTTTGATTATTACAAGTTACTATTCTGATCAGATGAATATGTGAAATTGAGCAATTGTTTTAGACTATCCATAATTATGTGTTCCTTGTTATTTTCAGGATCTAGGAATTGTTGAAGAATATGTAGTTGCTTTGTTTGATTTGGATGAGATCAGAAAAGTTGTGTATCAGGTAAATGGTATTCTGTTAGCATAATAAATACAGATAAACAGTGTCATGTATCTTTTTGTCCGTACTTGTAAAATCAGTTTTTATATATGCAATATACTCTATTAAAATGTTTTTTGCTTGAGTTTTTATTGCTTAAAATAGAACCTAGCTTTATTGCACTCAAAAAATTTACTTTGATACAAAAAACAACTTTGTCTATAACATATCTCGTGTGAGTTAAATTTTTCATGTAACCTTTCTTTATGTTTTTCAGGGTCTTCACAATGTTGCTGCATTAGGAGCAGCCATTGGATTGCCAAACAAAGCAACAGAAGTTTTTCAGTCAATCAAACCTAAAGCCAAAAAGACATAAATTCAAAGGCAAAATGATTTTCTTGGACAGAATAAAGAAATGTGCTACATGTATATGTTTTTAAGTTATCTGGGAAGTGTGAGCAAAAGTGTGACTTGTGTAATTTGCATATTTATTAAAGGCTTGGTCTCTAGCAGTGATGTCAGTAATCAATCGAAAAGTATTGTGAGCTTTGTCAAGTTATCTGCTTGCCTGTCTGATAAAATAATCCTACAGAATTGCACAGCAGAACAATGGTCCTTCTGCACCCCTCTCTAAAATAGCCTGACTATAGCACTACTCTTCGTCACTAGAGAACATAACAGAGACAAATTTTCTATTATGAAAAAATGACTGCAAAGATGTATTGTTTATAAAGCAATTGTATTGCTTATGTGAGATCATGGAAGTTTAACACTACAATTTTGCACCGTATTTGGTTATAAACTTTATTGTTCTTTTTCATGGAATGGAATATTTTCTAAATAAGTAAATACTTTGGTGTTCGAAAGGATTTTCTCCTTCCTTAAGCACTTGAAAAAGAATGCAAGCTACAGTGGACGTAACAATAATAACATAAATAGACACGTTTAAAAGGGCTTTCATATATGACTTTTTAAAAACCCACGGAAGATTTTCCTTCACTGTGTTACGTATTGTGATCTGCGCAATTTTTCCAAGAAACTGACAGTCAACTTGAGTTCCTTTATTCTGATTTATATGTATAATCTCAAAATCACGTTGTAGCTAGATTTTTATGGAATCTATAAACCAATTCGTTCTAAAGATGCTTTTTGTCAGTTTCTTTATAAATGAGCTGTAAGAATTCAACCAAACAACTCCAATGAAGTCAAGTCATTGCTCTGAATATAACATTTCACTTATGAAATGAGGCTTGCTTGTTTCCTTTCATGTGGTTAGCGATACTTAACTGTATCCAGTTAATGTAAGTAGTATAAAACCTGTTTCAATCAAAATTCGTTTTCTAGAAAACTGAATTTAATTCTAAATTAGCTTAAAAACAAGTCCACTGGCAATTAAATGGTCTCAGTCCCGTATATCTTATATTCAAAACGTCCCGATTTGGAACCCCTATTCGCGTTTGTTTTTCTTGATAGTGGTAAAGTGAGCAGTGGTTGGCAAGCGCCACATTCCGTCTTCCTCTCGAGATAGACCGTTCTTTATACCCTCGGTCCCCACGAAGTTCTGGCAGAAGGATAAAACGCGTAGGTCAAACGCAGACTCGTCGACGGTTGACACAGACCCCGTTGCACAGGATTTTACGGCCAATCCATCGGCGTAGTGGATGCAAGCGAGGGCCTCGGCCTCTGCCAATGTTGGAAGAACGAAACTATATGGGACGTCCTTGTGGGACACTGTAGCCGTAAACATTGGGAAGGATTCATTCAGAATCTCCACAATGCCACCTTGGAGTATCAGCAATCGCCTGGATTCTGCTATCTTCCTGAAATTATCAGCTGTGTTGGGAAAGAGAGCCTCAAAATAACGCAGAGCGGTTTTCCAAATAAACGTGGTCTCCTCTACGTCTATTACAATAACCAACTCTCCTCCAGGCTTGAGGTTAGAATACATGGCAAAGACAGCTTTCTTGATGTCTTCAAATGGATCAGCCGCATGGTCAAAGGTGCTTGTAAGGTGGTATAAAACTTGTGATGCCAGAATCCTATCCTGCATTTCTTGGGGACATGCTTTCTTGAGCCTCAGAGATTCTAAAGATTTTCCGTAATAGTCCTGAATGGGTCCTGGATATGCCACGTCTAGAGATGTGTTACTGAAATTTTCAATCCTTTCTTTGTACTTTTGGATTGACTCAGGATTCGGCTCTTCCACGCTGACGATGACCTCTTTGTTCAGCAATTGGAGATTCTTGCAAATGGCGGCCATCGGCATCCCCGTGCCTCCACCAAAATCCATAATACGGACCGGCGAGGGAAGTTCAGTAAGATTCAGCGTCTCGACCAAAATGGTATCGAGGTCAACGAATGGTTTCCTTCTTCTTCCCTCATCCACCCTGGCAAGAAACAGATGATTATCGAGTTAAGTCAGTCCGCCAGTCACTCTCTAACTGTCTTCTTTCTTTTTTGAAAACACAGTTAACGAAAGTTGATAGAAGGCAAGGGACAAGAGTTCAAGTCTCGATGGTGGCAAAATGAACGAACAGCGAAAACTGAATGGTGTATACGCGAATGAATAAATGTTATTGATTGACGAATATTAAATGAATAAAGAATACATATATATAAAAACAATCCAATCATAGGCCTACCTATTTTCAAACCTAGCCGACCTTTTTGCCTTTTTAAAAATAATATACAAATTTATTCAAAAATATTAATAACTTTTGTGGAAATAATTTGTTTATGCCGATTTTCGAATTCTGTCCGCCTTTTTGCCAAACAAAACTGCCTAATCACTTTAGGCCTAATGTAAATCAAAAAATATGGTATGGCAGTTATCTCGCCAAATGAACCGGACGGATACAGCAAGAGCGACGGCGACGACTTGTGCAAACATAGTTAATCGAAACACATAGTGACAGTTACAAATAACATGTATTAAAAAATTTAATGGACAGAGAGAAAACTGAATAATGGACAAGTGCATGAATTGATGTTGTATTAATATACAAAGACGATTTAATGAGTAAAAATATGGATAAATGAAATATAAATATGAACGAAGAGAGAACTTTCAATTTGAAACATTCAATTTGAAAAAAAAGAAAAGAAAAATTATACTTAACGCAGTGTCAAGGAGTGATAAGATTCTGTAATACGCCTCTGAGATAGTCATGGAACTGAACTCTTCACACAGTCTTTGCCGCACTTCTTGCTCATCCCTAGAGTCAGCACGCCCCTGAGAACCGTCCGCCATGGGAATTATAACTGTATAATCAGTTATATCCTTCTAACAAATGTTATTCAACAGACGACAGCTTTACAAAAAAATCCTCACTCAGTCAGCGGTTAACGTGTTATCCAAGAAAAAGCAAATTTGCAAATGTATGAAAAAATAATATAAACATCTATAAATTTATCAAGTGGTGTGACCTCCCAACCCGAAAGGACAATGATAAAATGGGTGAGTCCTATCACTGTGCCTTTCTTCGTTTTAAACCTGCCCATAATGTATGGCCAAGGGCTATGCGAATTGAATGCATACCACACGAATATAAAAATCTGGACATAGATTACTACAACAAAGGAGTGGATCTGGGCCATCTTCATTTTCCATGCACAAAATACAAAACAGGGCCATGAAGTTAAGGAAGTGGAACGAATGACCGGACTATAGTGTACTTTATGTGTTTTCTGCAGCCTGCATAGCATAAATAACAAGGATAATCAGATTTTTCCGAAAGTCATTGACCTTTCTGAGTTTTCACACACACACACACACACACACACA